ACTACCTACAAATATTAACACTTTTTGGCTATCTATCTGCACTAGTACGTATTTAATGTGTAAAAGTGTAAAAGTTGATCAGCCCCCCCCCCCCCCCCCCCCGAAAAAAATCCTGGCTACGCCACTGATTTAAATATCATATTTATTCAAGGTTTAGAACAGAGTATTAGTTATTTATCAATTGTAATATTAATTAATTATTAATTATATTAATAAGTATATTAATAGCATATATTAATTATGCTAATAACTTGTAACTTGTAAGTAATATACGTACTCAGGCATGTAACAAAAAATATCTTGGGGGGCCAGGGGTTCATAGATGATTGATATAAATAAATTACACATATTATTTTTCGGGAGGGTGGTGGGGGGGTTGACCCCCCATCCACCCTTGTATATGTGTCTGTAGGTACCTAAGTAATAATTAATTTACGTACCTACATATTATTTATTATTTATATTTTATTTTTTTTTTTTTACCTTAATAATTATTAAACTGAAATATTGAATGGAAATTTACAGGTAAGATAGGCGTACCTATCTATTTACATGAAAATGCAATAATTGAATATTTTTGTTTCATTAATTATACTATTTTTTAAACAATTTTAAAACTACCTACTTAATATATTCAGGATTGTGTTAGATAACAATAATAATAGATAACTTGATGATTTATATGCACCACCAGCTAGTACAAGGCTAGATACTTATGTAGGTAGTTAAGTGGTTCAATGGTTCATAGTTCATACAAAATTGCCAAATAAAAATGTTTTAAATATTTATTTCAAACAATGTTTCATAATATTTAAATAATATTAAACATTACATTTACTACGAGAAAATAATTATTAGCATTTTATGAAATATACGGTTTTAATAAGTCTGTATTTTTTTAAGGCTCATAGAATTTTTTGTAAACAACGTGTTATATCAATAACTTGGATTAGAGAAAAAATCAATGTACCTTGTCAATATTTCCAACCAGTATACACAATTTATGGAGTTTGTTATTCATTGAATATGGTTCCTTTTCATCAACTGCTTAATAATGACTATAATCAAGTGTGAGTTATTATTGAATACCTATAGCTTATATAGGCCGATACCTACGTCCTACGACCTACCTACCTATAATCTATTTCATAAAAATCAAAATTAAGAATCTTGATAATCCATGCACTATAATATACTTATATAATATTAATATATTATTATAATATTATTATGCTTTATGCATCGTGTGTATAGATTATCGAATTTGAATCATACTAAAGCAGATATTATAACAAAAGCAAAAAACACTGCATGGGATCCAGAAATTGGATTTAACAAAAACGCAGAGCCATTTAATTTACCATGGAAAGTTACAGGTGATACTGTCGAAGATTCTGTCATAATAAGATTCAATTTACAAAACGAAAACACTAGAAAACACTGTCCTAAAACTGATAAAGGAATGACGGTAGGTACATATTTACAATTTAGGTAGGTACCTACCTGATTCAAATTATTTATTTATTCACAAAAAATATAAAGTTACTTACAATTTTGAATGCTTATAATGATTTGACTTGCTATAATTTGTTATAGTTATTTTTACATAGTCCGATTGATGTACCTGCTAATATCCAACCTACAGCTTATATTGCTGTCAACAATATAGCTTATATTACAACAACATTTACTTGGATAACAACATCTGAAAGTATTTTAGGTTGGAAACCGGATATTCGACACTGTTATTATCAGCACGAGAGGACTTTAAAGTTTTTCAGAATATATACAATTAATAACTGTGATATTGAGTGTAGAGCCAATAATTCATTAAAGATGTGTGGTTGTGTGGCTTACTACCACCCAAGTGAGTATATCTTCAGTACCTACCTATACCAATAATAGTAGGTATACCTAATATGGTATAATATCCATTGGTTTAAATTGTAGTAAGGGCAGTAAGGCATTTTTATTATTCAAAGAATATACCTATTTAAGTCAGTGGATAAAACCATATGGCACATTTTTCAAATAAAGGATAGGCACCTACTATTAATACTGTGACTACCTCCACTTCCAATTTTAAATGCTTGTTAGGCAGTGGCGTTATTTCAGTTTTCAATAGAGGGAGTAAAAGTTTTGATTAGCCCAAATGGGTAACTTAAAAAAACCAGTCGCTTTGCTCTCGATTAATTACAAATTTATCATTGTTACAGTAATTTCTTAATAAACAATAAGATACTTTATCCAAATATTATGAAAAATATAGGCATGGTTTTTCTCTAATAAAATATAGTAATGGTTAAACGGAAACAACTAGCCAACGGCCCGCTGAGCTGCTTTTAAAAATGTAGACAGAAAAAGGTTCATCTTGTCTGTAGACAATTTGGGTTCAGCAGAATCAATCTTAAGTTTTTAGATTTATTATAAATTCCCTCAAGCAAAGAGTCACTAGTGGGTGACTTCTTAATAACGTCTACCATGTTATTTTTTAAGTATCTTATCATATACACATATTATGCTAAATACCTAGTATAGATTGTATATTTCTTATAAAAAAAAAAAAATTAAAAAAAAGTGCTCTGCTGTACAGTAGGTTACAAGTGGGTCACTGTATAATGGATGGTATTAAATTTGAATTCAATGATATAATATCATTGTATAAGAAAAACGATTCTGAGCGGAGATGGTATGTCAGTCTAGGTATAAGACTTTTTGTAACCAACAAATAAAATTTTATTGATGTTTTTAGAAAAAAAACTAAAAAAAATGGAAAATGAAAATGTTCCTAAACAGTTCAAAACAAATAATAATATTTTGAAAATTTCATCGTGTATAGAAAATGCAAATATAAACAACCAGTGAAAATTTCATGTATATACGTTCATTTGTTTTAGAGTTACACCAAAAACCAAAAAAACAAAAAATAAAAAAACACACATCATTGTAAAATCAATGCATTCATCGTTCCACTCAGAATCCAAAAGATTTAATATAAGAGTTAATTTATTTATTTAATATCAAACTTAATGTTAAGAGCTTAATGTGTTTGAAAGTTGGTATTTTTACGATATTACAATAATATTTCTACAAAATGTACAAGTAATTTTAAATTGTTATAGTTTACAATGATTTACTCATCAGACATCGAAAAAAAAGAGGTATCGAAAAAAACAAATACCTACACATAATGTTTTTAACTTTAAATTTGATAATACTTGGTAAATTCACTCTAATACTAAAGCTAATAACACAAGGTAGGTTCTGCTGAATGAAAATGTGTGTTGCTCGTGGGTCAGAGATAACAAAAAAAAGGAACCATTCTATTTTCAATTAATAATAAGTATCTAGGTACCTTATAATAAAATGTATTTAATAGGTTTATTAAAATATTACATATTATTAAACAACTTTATACAAATATGATACAACAATTAACAGAATACTGAAAAGGTAACTACTAACTAGTAATTTTGACCACGAGAAGCGAAGTTTGACGTAAGGGCTAGTTCAATCTTAAGTGCAAATCTTCCCCTTTATATTTCTCGCTGGGAAACTGCCTAGGAAAAAATAACCACCATCCCCCCAGTCACCGTGTACAATTAAAACAATTATTTGTTACTTACTACTTACAAGTTACAGCCTACATTAATATAAATAATGTTATATATAGGAGATGTAAACACTCCAATATGTGGTTCTGAAAATTACAAATGTATGCGACAGTATTCAAATGATGGTAAACCACATAATATTTTACTATAATAATACAAAAGCATAATAATTAATGCAACATTACATTATTTTTTTTTAGTTTATTCAATCTTTGACAAACATTTGTTTACTATAAATACTACAAATGATTGTAATTGTTTAGATGTCTGTACAGAAATCAGATTCAAACATAACGTTGTATACACGCATAGAAATTTGACAAAGAAAGTTAAAAATCCCCTAAAACGGTTGAAATATTTAATTAATTTTAAGATTTTAAACATAATATATTTTTTAATTGTTTTTATTTATTTATTTAGATATCCATACAAATCAATTATCGTTATGTACTACAAGAGAAATTTATGGAGTATACAAAGAACTGCCTTGATACCAGTTAATGAGTTATTAGGTGAGTGGGTATAGACACCGCTGCAGCACTATGGCATTACACTCTTATTATTTATGAACTCAACTCTTTATTCCTATAACCTATAAGATATAAGAATTGTACCTATTATAATAATATTATTATAATAGAAACATTTAATCATTATTCATCTACTGTCCTTCTTTTCCCTTAGGTAATATTAATTTTTCTATTGACAGTTCTTTAATTTTTTTAAGTAAGTAGGTAGGTACTTCAGCTACCTACTTCTAATAAAATGTCTAAATTAAATATTTTATATGATATACAAACATTTTTTAAAAAAAAAACTGTACTATAATCGAAATTTATTTTTTAGATTCAATAAAACTTATATTATAATATGTTTTTTAGGTAATATTGGTGGATCCTTAGGATTATTTCTTGGCGCAAGCATAATTAGTCTGTTTGAACTTATATACTTTTTTGTAGTACGATTATACGTTGATCGGTGGAACAAAAACAAAGTAAAAAAAAATATTAAAAAAACTCGTAAACTTCCTCTAGTGTAGGTATAGTACATTTCGAGTGTATATTAGGGTCTAAAATTAAGATATTTTGCTCCTGCACACCTAATTCCACACCAAAATATTTTAAAATAATGAACATAACCTAGTAGTTCACACACCACATGTAACTTCATTGCATAATTGTTTTTGCTATTTATTAATAATTAGTTATAATAAATACAATCTAAGACAATCTTCTATATAAGTCCTTGATACCTATATGGCTACATGACTAAACATTTTAAAATTAAAAATGATATAGCTTGGGTTAATATACTTAGAATATTAGAATATGGTGAAGTCGGTACTATTTTTAGTGTTAAGGGCTTTAAACGAATTCAATATCTGAGATGAAGGTTATTTCATCTAGCAACTTAAAAATGCACGATATGATGAACCTTCTTTCCACCGGTTCCTCTGTGATTGTTTCAAGTTCGTTTGTACCTCTTACTCGTATGTTGGATCCCAACCACATATTTGTTACTGAACTTGTTCACCAACACTTGGTCAATAAAAGTTCTATAACAACTGCTGCGCCTAAGTTTGTAGTTGGTTCTAATAGCACAGCTTCCTCCAAACTGGCAGCTGTGCCGTTAGTGAAATTTGGGGACATTTTTGTCTCCCGATTTCATCCTCAGATTACTGCCACTCAACTCAAGACTGAATTGTTTGATGGTATGGCCGTGTCAATTACCCAAATGATCACCAGACATCCTACGTATTCCTCCTTTCATATTCGAGTTCCTGCCGAGATGTTGACGGATGTCTTGCAACCTTCTTTTTGGCCTGAAGGGATTATGGTTAAACGCTTCTGGGGACGTCTACTTCCTGAAAGGATTGCCAACTCCTAGTCTTCAAAAAACTAGGTTTTGTACGTGATGATGCTTCTTCCCTTAGTAATGTAGTAAATAATAAATTATATAATTGTAATGTTCCTTGTACAACTAGTGTTAAGTCTTGTTTCAGTTCTCTTAAAAAGCCAGTATATTTTGGTATGTATCAAAACTGCAGTGGACTAAGAACTAAACTTTCTACTATGAACCGCAACGTTGCTGGCTTTGATTATATTTTTATTAGTTTGTCTGAAACATGGCTCACTGATGGTATTTTTTCTAATGAATTAGGTTTATTTAATTACTATTATTCATAATAGAGGTGGTGGTGTCCTCATAGCTGTTCGGAACGATGTCTCGGCACAATCTTTAAACATTGCTGTCGTCAACTTAGAACAACTATTTGTTAAGTTCAGTTATAATGCAATAACTTACATCTTATGCGCTGTTTATTTCCCTCCCAAATCCACAGTGGATTCCTATAAGTTCTTTATTTCAAATCTTGAAAATGTCGTAACGTCCTTCCCTGACTGGGAGTTTATTGTATCTGGGGATTTTAATCTTCCCGGGATTGACTGGTCGAATGACCAAAATGGTGTAATTTACTCGACCTCTGTCTGCTGTCTTGCTCGTTGTATCCCTGAAAGTTTTGCTTACCTTGATTTTTTCCAATTGAACGAGGTCAGAAATTACTATGGTTCTGTTTTAGATTTGGTTTTTAGCAACAAAAGTGATATGATTATTATGAGATCTGATGACTATGTTGTTCCTGAAGATCGTTACCACCCATCCTTAGTTTTTGAAACGGTTTTAGCACCAGTTCCGAATAACCTAGAATTGAACCATCCCTTCTTTGATTTCAAAAGAGCTGATTTCTCCAAAATTGAACAATTTTTATTGTCTTTCAATTGGAAAGATACTATTAGCTCTTTAGATGCAAATGATGCCACTAATGCTTTTCATGATGCTCTTCACTTTTGTATTATTAGTTTCGTCCCTCAGGTGGTATACATGAAGTCAAAGTTTCTTTCTTGGTTTACTAGTGAACTAAAAGAATTGACATTTCAAAAAAGGAAAGCACATGCCGCCTACAGGGCTTCGATGTCCCTTATTGACTACTCCGCTTTTTCTCTGCTCCGTGCGAGGTTTAAATTTCTCTCTAAGAAATGTTATGTGAACTATATTAAACGAATAGAAGCATCTTTCTGTACTAATTCCAAATCCTTTTGGGATTTTATACGAAAAAATAAAAAAGGTTCAAACATCCCTTCACTTGTAAAATTGAATGGTGTTTCTAGTGTTGATAAAACTACCGTGTGTGAGCTTTTCTCAAAACATTTTAGCTTTTTTCACCTAATAATTAAAATGTTGAACTCAGTAGTATTAGTGGTCTACCATATGATGAGCTTCCTTCCGCTTGCGACATTACTCTAAGTGATGTCGAGTCTAGTCTAGCCAAATTACGTCTTACTAATTCAGTTGGACCTGATGGTCTCTCAGGCACTTTTATTTATAATCTTAGGTCTGTTCTGTGTTTTCCTCTTTTTGTAATTTACAATAAATCCTTATGTGAAGGTGTCTTTCCAGATATTTGGAAGATTAGTACAGTTACTCCGATTTTTAAGACAGGCGACGCTAGTGATGTCATTAATTACAGATCTATTAGTATATCAGTCATCTTGCCAAACTTATTGAGTCTTTTGTTTTGAAGTCCATTCAAAGGCCTGTTAATTGTATCATTATCGATGAGCAACATGATTTTCGCCCGAGGTGGTCAGTTAGGACCTGCAATTTAATTTTTACTGAGTATGTCCTTGAGGCTTTTAACAAACAATTACAGGTCGATTCCATTTATTTGGACTTCTCCAAGGCCTTTGACCGCGTTAACCATCATACTCTGCTTAGTGTGTTGTCAAATCTCGGGTTTGGTGAACCTTTAATGTCATGGTTCCGTTCCTATTTGTCTGAGAGGAAACAGCTAGTCAAGATTAACGGTTTTTGTTCCAATCAATGTTACCTCGGATGTTCCTCAAGGAGGGCATATCTCACCCGTTATTTTTGTTCTTTTTATTAATAGTATCAAAGATATAATTAAACACAGTGAGCTTCTTATATTTGCTGATGATATTAAGCTTTTTCTCCGTATTACCAGCACTGATGATTGTAAGCTGTTGCAATTTTATCTAAAAGCTATCGCTCAATGGGGCCAGGGACTTGGCTTGGAGCTTAGTATCCCTAAATGTCATTCCATGACCTTCACTCTTTCCAATGAGCCGATCTTGTGTAAATACTCTATCAACGATATTGCTCTTAAGCGCTCCAGTGATTGTATTATAGATAGTGTTTGAAAATTTCATGAAATTTAAAAAAATGAAATATTTCGTGAAATATTTCATGAAATATTTCAAAATATGTGAAATATTTCAGTATTTTAATATATTTTGTTTTATTTTTAAATAAGTTTTATATTTACATATAATTGTCATAAATTACCTTCATCACTATATGGTACCTGTATGTATACCTAACCTTTGGTATTATACATTTAAATTGGTATTCAAAATTTTTAAATATTTTAATGTTTAAATGATACAAGTAGGTATACTCGTACAATATTATACATGTATATTGTATACTTACTGAATTCTGACATTAGAATTTAGAACACTGAACATTGTGTTAAAAAAATTAATAAATTGTGTTTTTATTTGTGTTAAAAAAAATTTCAATGTTTCACGTTTTTGTGAAATATTTCACAACTTAGTGAAATATTTCAAAATGAAATATTTCATTTGAAATATTTCATGAAATATTTCTCATACCTACTTCAAACACTAATTATAGACCTTGGTATTTCTTTTGATCGGTCTCTTACTTTTCAGGCTCATATTGAGAAAGTTACATGTAAGGCGCTGAAGCTTCTCGAATTTGTTAAAAGTATTTCTTGTGAGTTTAAATAGTCTAGTTCTCTTAAGACCTTGTACTGCTCTTTCGCTCGGTCTGCGTTGGAGTATGGTATAATTATCTGGGAATCATGCACCATTGATGGTAGTTGCCAACTTGAAAGAGTTCAGAGTAAATTTTTAAAATTTGCCGCTTTTGCTTTAGGTATTGAGTGCCCACCTCATGAGTATGAACCAGTGTTTCAGGGTCTCCGTCTGTCTACCCTATGTGATAGAAGACAACAGGGCAACCTTACGTTCCTTTCTAAACTTATTAATGGTGAAATTAACGCCCCTGTACTCCTATCCAAAGTTAATATCAGAGTTCCTGCTTATTGTTCCAGATCCTCTTTCCCATTTCATACTCCTTTTAGCCGCTGTAATTATTTAACTAATCGCCCTATAGTTCGTATGATAAAACTGGCCAATGAGGACCCACAATTCCTTAGCATTTAGTCTACTTATTGTCTCTCTTTCTTAAATATGTGTAATTTTTTCTTGTTAATTATTGTCAACAAAATCAATGTAATTGGGATCGTCCCGTATTCAATATAAATAAATATGCTAATTAGTAATTTTCAATAATCAAAATTGATTATTAATCAAATAAAAATGTATAAAAGCCGAAAATAAGTATATACTGCACAGTGCACACTTTTAAATTTGCTACTGCACATTTAATATTAGCTACTGCGCATAGTGTGTGCTACTACACACAATTTTATTTCCTGGTGTATAGGTACTTACTACTTACCATCGTTGAAGAGTATTAATCAATGACCAATCATTGTAGGTATTTGAAAAATCAATTTTAAGTGAAGGAGATGACATCAGTATCTATTTCTAAGGATAGTTCATCTTATATTTGCATTGTTGTTAATGTTTTATTAATTCATTAAGTGGTAGTCTCAGAGGCGTACATTTAGTTAAAAATCTGGGAGGGGGGGCTATAAATATAAAATAACACTTATTAACATAAATTAATATAATTACAAGGTTATATAGGTTAGTAAATACTGGGGGGAGGGCTTCAGGAGTTTTTAGCCTCCTTAAGCCTCCCTCAATTTAAGCCTATGGGTAGCATGGTGATATTGAATTGGGTCCATGTTACTTTTATGTGTTTGAATTGTGTCCAGTTTATTATCTTAATATATTTGAATGAGTCCGTATAGATAAAATGTCATAACTACCTATAAGACGATGGCAACCTTGAACTTTGCATATTATTATATTACACATTATTATTATTATTTTTAATTAAGTAATTGACTCTTTAAATAACCAAAAACATGCATTCAATTACATAAGACATAACACTTCTTAATAGGTGCCATAATAGGTTAGGTACCTACCCTCATGCAGTTAATACTTCACTGTCTTCACTAAAATAACATGCGATGTAGAAGCGAAGTCGATAAAATCTATGTAGGTAAATAATATAGACTTTTCGCTGAAGAATTCTCATTTATAGTGTGTTTTTTTATACTTTTTATTACAATTAAAAATAAAACAGTGTAAACAATCACACACATTTTTTGGGAGATTACTCGGTAGTTGGAAAAAAATGCCCAGGAAAAAAATCCCGGTAAAAAAATCCCCGCAAAATGACAACACTTCTGGCTCCGCCTATGACTCGAAAAACCTAACAATATTAGTCGGATTCAACTCCGATAACCCATAAGTATTAGCGGGACTCAATTCAATGTTATCCGTGAATAGGTCCGAGGTATAATTAGTTTAAACTCACTAACTAGTATAAAATATAATTAAAAAATGTCATTGTTTATAGAGAACAATAATATATCTACGTACCTAACGTACCTAATGGTAAATAGTTTCAACTCTTAATATTTTGGATTCTGAGCGAAGTGAAAGATCAAAGAAGTTATAGGTATTGATTTTACAATGATTTGTGCTTTTTTCTATCTGTCATCAGCTTTTGGGATAACTAGTAAAACTTAATAAATAATCCAATCAACTAAAATGTATTATTCTATTTAAAATTCATATTATATCAAACTTCTATTACACTTTAAAGATCTTAGGTAGAGTTATTTTTGACTCAAAATTACATTTTTCATCACATATAATATATAGGTACCGAAATTATAAGAAATAAAGTGATGCGTAATTTATTATTTAGGTTTCATTAAACGAACATACAATTTTAGACATTTGTAATAATTACTAATTATTAGTACCTACCTAGGTAATTTTAGTAATTTTATTCTTTTAACTATTTATTGTTCTCTTGTTCGCTCTGATTTGGATTAACAATAGATACTTCGAGTCTTCAAAATAAAATAATATTATTGAATCGTTCCAAAACAACTTCTTACGTGTTTAATTTCAGTTAACTTTAATATTGTAGTATAATATATTAATATACACCTCTCCATAACGCCATGGCACGTTCAAACCAGTTTTAAAATTTACCAATTTAGAAAGGCACATACTCTTACTATCAGAGTTGGTATCAATTATCAATGCTATTATGAAATTTACTTTTGAGTTTTGGGTGACATTGTCCCTAACTTATCCACTGAAAATAAACTACTCCAGCTAATGCAAGGAATAAAAATATATTCTATCCCGTTCCGTTCCTTCCAATACTAATTTTATGTCTAATAGTCCCGATAAACTTCTAAATCCTAATAGTTGCAGACTTTCAGCCTGCAGATGATTCTAATATAGGTGGTAGGTAGAGATACCTAGGTATTTGATTTTGTTTAGCAATTATCATTTTATATATTTTTGTAATTTTTTTTAAATCGCATATTCTTGCACAATATTGCTATGTTTGTAAATGTATATAACAGCGTTGTAAGTTGTAAGTTGTATTTCTTTTTATATTCTTCACATTATTATTATATATTATGATGTAGGTAGGCTTATTTATTTTTTGTGAACAGGGGTGGCTCCAGAGACATTGTTGTGTGTGTGTGTGGGGGGGGGGGGCTAAGTCATAATTAAATAAAAACTTTCGATATTACCTTTATGTTTTATGGCATAAATTCACTTTAGTTACTTGGCGCATTTTTTCGAAATATATGTATTTCAACGAATTAAGAACGACGGTGCAAAAAAAAATTTGTGGAAACCTTATTTTGGAAGTTATAGCCATCCAAAGTTTTCAATTTTAGGTTTAATATACTCATGCGCGCAACATTCCTTAATGCCGATCGGAGGACCTTGAGTTTGGCGACCGAAGCCGGTAGGCGAAGGGAGCCACTATAATATATACTTCTGTGACTTTAACAGACTGTCCATACAACTTTATTTAATTCTGATGCCTGCCCAAGGTGGTTTTACACAAACAGATCAAGGCTTATTTTCGATTTTTTCGTTAAAAAACGTAATAAAAATAATTTGTTATACATCAGCGCGGGGCAGTCAAGTAGCATTGGGCGTTGAGCATAAACGTAAAATCGCAAACTTCGGATGGCTATAACTTCCAAAATAATGGTTTCCGCAAATTTTTTTACACCATCGTTCTTAACTCGCTGAAATACGTATATTTTGAAAAAAAAATCCAGAAATGTGCTGGGTAGCTAAAGTGAATTTGCTCCTATTTTATTTTTAAATTTGTTTTTAACAATATACAATTTTTTAGAAATACGAGCTTGGGGGGGGGGTCGCCCCTAGGACCCCATATGGAGCCACCACTGTTAGGGGTTAATCATTAACGCACAATAACAAATTTGTGTAGTTATATATTTATATGTAATAGGATGAAAATCTATTAATAAAATAATAAATAAATAAATCTACATACGACAGAATTATTTTTAATCAAGGAGGAACTAATTTCAAAGGAATTTTCCGTAAGATACATTACAGATATCCAGGCTAAACTATCCATTTATCTAGGTACTTCCAATAATTTTATTATTTAAAATGTAGGTACTTACACTGGCTATACTACTAATACCATGTGTCTATAGGCAATAGGCATGACTAAATAGATAGGTATGATCACATTTTTACTGATACGCAGATTCCCCTTCAGACCACGATTTAAGATATATATTTAAGATACATATATTAAATTGTGCTTCAGACCATGTCCATTACTCAGTTCTCGGTTTCTCATTGGTTATTCATATTATCAACATTAGGTAGATTATATTTAAAAAAATAATTTAAATAAATTTAAAATTATTATATTTTCTTATGATCTTATGACTTATTAATTTTGAGTTTATGATTTAATAACTATACTTAAGTGATGGTACAACATATTATCAGGTAATATTTACATATTATAACATTTTTGGCACCAAAATTATTAGGCCAATGAAATAACGAGAACTACAGTAGGCGTTGTGCGCTAGAATGGACTATATAGAACACGTACCTACCGATATGATCACACATTCATAACTACCTATCTATTTAGTAATTAGTCATGGTGTCTAGGTACCTACTACCTATCCATAGTTTAGTTTCATATTAAGGGGCCTCACTACCAAGTCTTTTTTTTTCAAAAACTACTGTTTCTAATTCCAACGATACGTGTCGACAATTATCACGATTTTCATTCTGAAAAGATATTCTAATTGTCCGTAGTATATACAAGGGAACGATCGAGCCACATTTTTAATTTTTGTAATTTAAATTGCAATAAAAATTGTAAAAAAATCAAAAAAAAATACAGAATTTCCAACTTAAATATTTAATTAACTAAATACAATTTTAAAAATATGCCTCGATCGATCCCTCGTACATGTTGTGGAAAATAAGAATATTTTGTCAGAATGAAAATTGAGGTCATCGTTGAGACGTACTGTTGGAATTAGAATCGTATGTTTAAGTGAAAAATAAGCATTTTTTCATGATCACAATATTATTATATATTGACATGTGTGTGCGAGTGCGTGCGAGAGCTACAATTGACCCGCATGGACGCCACACACACTAATAATCATTTACGACTAACACATAGATCTCGGGTGGCGACGACGAGATTAGAAATTGCATAAATGATTCTCCTTAACTCAATGCCATTGCGAGGCCCCTTAAGTTAAAAATTAAGTTAATGAAAATTAAATTTCAAAAAGTTAAGTTAAAAGTTAAAATTAACTTAACTTTTAACTTTTTAACGCGTTTATGCCCAGGCTTGAATTTTAATATTTAACTACTATTGTAACAATATATCAGGATCCTTGTATTAATTGTTCTCGTTTTTTGACCTAACAAATAAAATGTAATTTACATAAAAAAAAAACCCCAAACAAATTTGAAACTGAAAATGTCCGTAAATATTTTTAAAATTGTATGGTGTACCTATAGAAAATGCTAATATAAATATTCACTGAAAATTTCATTTATTTACGGTCATTTGTTTCAGAGTTACACCAAAAACCAAAACAATTTTGTCAAAACCGATGTTGCGTAAAAATTCCCCGTTTTCCTTAATTTTTATTTTGTTTTTCCCGGCGCTTTTGATAACTACTGGGAATTTTCTTTACCTTTCAAACCTCCCCAATGCACTAACTAGATTCACTTTCCCATCGAACAAGGTTTAGGTAGGCATATAATTATTACTAATAACTAATAGGTAAGTAATAAGTGGTCAAGTGGGACTAGGATTATATAGGAGTTTGCATTATTTTTTTATGATCTACAGGATATAGCTTTTCAAGCACAAAATGTGATTTGTTTATCCACGAATTAAAATAATATATAGTTTTTCCTTTGTATTTTTTTTTTACTTTTTTGGATTTCAAGTAATTTTTTTAGCATTTATTCAATTTAAATTAATTTTATATTTTTGTTCTTTATTGAAATCTACATAATATTTTTATTCATTTTCGTTTTACACTGGATGTTGTTGATGGTAGTTATAAATTTGCAACAGAAATAATATCATAATTTGTATAAAGACAGTCTGTTAAAATTGGTTTATTTAATAACAGTTATTAAAGTCATCAAAAGCATTCATTTAATTTTTTTTAAATTCTTTTCTTCGTAATATTATAATTTAAATAATTTTTACTACTGCTCATTAAAATCCTAGTCTCACAGTTTAACAGTTATAACTATTAACTGATAGGTAGGTAATTTGTTGTAATATGTTATACACTGGTACCTAAACAGTAAATAAATTATTTTAATGAAATTTAATTTTAGGCTTTAAATGTATTAAAAGGTTATTTAATGGTATTATATCTTGGTTTACATTTATTGATTTATACAATATTACAATTTATATTGTAAATAGTAGCATTGATTATGAATACTAGTTACCAGTATTCATAATCAATGGTAGTAAAGGTATACATGGCATAATGTCATAATTCATAATGGATACCTACTTAAGGGTACCTAGTACCTACTAGTTCTCCCGGAATAAATATTGTAGTTTAAATAATTAAAATAAATACTAAATAGTCATTGTAAACTATAAAGTGTAAGCGTCAATCCTACAAATTAAATTAAAAGAACATCAAAAGATAACATGGACATTTAATCCTTATTATAAAATGGTTTTGCGTTATGTAAGATTTTGGCGTTATTATACAATATGGTTGACAGATAAGTAGTTAAATCTGAAACGAATGACTTGTTATTATAACAAGACATGTGTATATTTAAATAAATATCACTGATGCCAATCAATTTCAATTGGGCAAAAATAGTATAAGACACACACAATATATTGAATGACATAAATTACTTTATTTATGAAAAACATTAAAATTTTTAAGAAATATTATATAAATAAGATTTTTATGATACATACAAATAATTAACATTAATATTGAATTTCTCAATTTCAAAAATTAAAAGTACCAGTCTTGTAAGTTTCATAATACTTACCTAGATATTAAAAACAAAATATACTATGTCTATTATGACAAAAAAATTATACAGTAAATACATTATTGATGGTGATATTCATAAAAACAATTCCTTTTTTTTGTCATACACAAATGTACATTGCACTTTGTGCAAGTAGTATGAGATTTCTTTGAACATCCCTCGTTTTTACATAAGGTTGCATCTTTCAAATCATCAAATTCAGGTAAGTGATTTATATGATCATAGCGTAGTTCATCAGGAGAGTTTGAACTATCATCTTCACAATTTGTTGATACATATTTTGGTTGTATAGTAGGTTTAGGGGATAATATTGGACTTTCAAATTTCCTTGGTGCAATTTCAGCGTTCCCTACAGTTATAAGTGTTTCAGCTAATTTTTGCTTAAATGAAAATAAGTCCATGGTATTTTTTTTTGGTAAATTAGTAGCTTGAGCATCGTTTGTATATTCCAACCAAGAATTGCAAATACCCATGTCAAAAAAGTGAAAAAGCATATGTAAGGTCCATTCTTGAGATTTTAAAAATACCCTATAAATACTAGTTAGGTGATCATTTATAAATACACCTCTTATAGTATCATTGTATAATTTCACAATTTCTGGACGACTTACTTCAATATAAGATTTTTTTTTTCTGTCGTAACGTTCAATTTTATCTGACTGCCCTGAAGTTATAAAATTTGAAGCAAGAGTTATCGTTTTCTTATCAAACCATTTGATGACGCCAATTTTTTCATCGGTTGAGCTTACTTCATAAGAAGCTCCTCTTCCTAACTTTTTAAGTTCTCTATTACTTAATATGGGGGGTTTTGCAAAACTATTTATGTTAACAAGCCCTGCTGCTTTAATTCCTAAGTAATCAAGTGACATAAATAAATTGTATGATCCAAAAAAATGGTCAAAAAATAAAATATGTTTATCCATTTCTAAATGTTCTACTAATTTTAGTACAACAGAACCACCTAGGCCATATTTGTTTTGTATTTCAGGATTCAATTCAATCATATTTTCCTGATATAAAATCATGTTGTACACTATTCCATTCTGTGAGCAAAGTATAAATGTTTTAATACCCCATGGACAGGGTTTATCTTCCATATTGTAATATAATTCATCTAGCTCTCCATTAAAGACAATCTTTTGTTTACCAGCAGCTAAATTAGTTTCCACTGGCAATTTTTTACATTGATTTAAAAAAGAATTATATAATGGTCTAATTGTTATAAATGTATCTACGTTATTAGTCGGAATGTTGTTATTGTCAATGACATGAAAACATGATCTTAAAATAAGAAAACGATCTAATGACATATTATCAGCAATTCCATTTATTCTGAAGTTATCCTTCCAATACAAATGAAAGCAAGGGTTTTTAAAACAACCAATAATTAAGTGTATTCCGACAAACACTTTTATTTCTCCTGGTGTAGTATCTACATAATTTTCAATACATTTTTCCTTAGCATTCAGATTAGTATATTTTGCCATATTTTCAAATTCTACCTCAGGAAAATAATTCATAAAATATTCTATAGGAGATAAAGTTTGATGAGTTGTTGATATTTCTGGAACTAATGCTTGAACGTTTAAAGGTTTAGACATAAATGGTTTGTTAGTCCATTGAATATCTGTATTTTGTACAAATGGTAGATTTACCGTTGGCGTTTGATCATTAGGTATGCATCGTGGTGTAAACTGTAGAGCAGGTGATCTCTTGAACTGTTGAGTAAATTCATCATTAAAAGATTTGTCTTCTTCAGAAAATAATGTAGTACTTGGTTGTGATACAGAATTTGTACTAGATGGTTCTATAAAATAAATCCAAATATGTAAATGATCAAACATAAGAAATAAATTAGAACTATTTCATGTACCATTGGCTTCAATAAAAAGATCATCATCAGATTCTTCAATTGGCTTAAATACACTTAATTCTGCTTCTTCAATTTCTTTTAGTATTTTATCTAGTTCCGAACGAGGAAAAACACCATCTTCATCAATATCATCATCATCATCATCATCGGATAACCCTGACAACTCTGAATCCATACCATCGCCAATCATATCCATTATATCACGATAACAATGTTTTTTCGCCATGTTTGGGATTACGATTCAAACAAAATGTTGAACTAAATATGAAAAATAAAATAGAATACGTGTTGAAGTGATATGCATTAACTACAACATAGGTATATATGCATATATACCTATTACCTATGTATAGTAATCCAGAGCATGAAAACATATAAATATATATTATATAATATTATACTATTATAAGTAAGCCGATCCTAAATATACTTAAATATATTTAAGCCATGATATCAATATTAATTATTAATATCATAGAATGGATTCAATCTATTCTAGTATATTACTATATTAGTATGTTATTAATATTTATTATTTATTATTCTTTTCTACATTTTAGTACCTACCTATTAGTATGTAATAAAGTAACAATAACTGAAAACTGAAATAGAATATCTGACAATTATACATTCAACATTGAACTCAAGAACTCAGAAACATCAAACATCAGACTATAGACATAATATAGATGGACTGCGCGTTCCTCCCCCCTCGCCATCAATAAATTCAGCCATAATAACAAGACATGAGAAGGTAAAATAGCATGGATAAAACATTTTTACTGTTTTTATTCCAAGGTATATTTTGGTTTAAATAAGAGTGATAACTGATAAGACTATTGATTCCGTACACGGACTAAGATATAATGGACTGGAAACGACAAGGTGGGCGGGTGACGAGGGACGGCCCGCAAAAGGTTCCTCTGTTATCATCAACACTCATAATCGAAAGTTTTCAGCGCTACCAGTGGTTTTATTTAGCGTCATATTTTGTATCTCAGTCCGTGTTTTATACAGATGGCGCTGTAAACTCTGGATTATGGTTGCGACCCCCCGCATTTGCTTCTTGTACATACTTTCGAGGCCACTGATAAGCTGCTCGTTTCCAGTCCATTATATCTTAGTCCGTGATTCCGTATTTCCGTATCATGGAGGAAAGCTGTTAGATAAACATTTTTCCATGATTATTTACCTTCTACATAAGTTTATTATTGCTGACATGATAAGGGCTGAACGCGCAGTCCATCTATATTATGTCTATGCATCAGACTATAATTGCTATAATATACTCCATGGCTTAAATATACAAGGTTATTGCACATAGCCATTATTGTTATCAAATAAAATAAAATGGCAGCGTAAGGGTCACGATTCTTTATCAATTATTGTTATCACTTAATTATATAATGTATAATGTATATATTCATATAATATACAGCCAATCAAAACATCGCCCCTTACGCTGCCATTTTAATTTCTTAACAAGATAAAACGATTTAGTGGGGGTACTACTGCAATAACCTTGTATATTTAAGCCATGATATACTCTATAGTCTATACCAGCACCTAGATACGAAATGATGTGCCTTATCAATAATATTTTTGAATCTGACCACAGATTAAATGATAAGTGAAAACAGATAGTGCACTTACTCGTGACTATTTACACGGACTAAGATATACAGGACTGGACACGAGATGAATATTGTGGTTACGAAATGTTTTACAACAGGCGGAGTTCGGGGGGATATTTTCCTTTTAGCATTACTAGCGCCGTCTTAGTGGATACTTATGGAACTAGAAATTTGTATGATGTGTTCTAGTTCCATAAGTATCCACTAGGACGGCGCTAGTAATGCTAAAAGGAAAATATCCCCCCGAACACTGCCTGTTGTAAAACATTTCGTAGTCAACCCCTCCACACCCTCCAACCTTGTCGTGTCCAGTCCTGTATATCTTAGTCCGTGCTATTTATAATTAATCACGGACTAAGATATACAGGACTGGACACGAGATGAATATTGTGGTTACGAAATGTTTTACAACAGGCGGAGTTCGGGGGGATATTTTCCTTTTAGCATTACTAGCGCCGTCTTAGTGGATACTTATGGAACTAGAAATTTGTATGATGTGTTCTAGTTCCATAAGTATCCACTAGGACGGCGCTAGTAATGCTAAAAGGAAAATATCCCCCCGAACACTGCCTGTTGTAAAACATTTCGTAGTCAACCCCCCCACACCCTCCAACCTTGTCGTGTCCAGTCCTGTATATCTTAGTCCGTGTAATTAATAAACATAATAACATTGATTAAATATACTGTATATTTTAATCAATGATAATAATATATCATTTCCCCAGCACCCCTGATATTTTTTGTTTTTTTAGAGAAACGAATTCTTTACAAACCTTTACAATCAAAGTACAATCGAATGCTATAAACAGAAATTCAAAATTCAAAACTACGGGACATTTCCCCATCCCTCCATCGATAATTTTTGTTTTTTAGGAGAACGAATTCTTTGCAAACGAAAAAAATATCTTAATAATTAATAACCTTTACAAACATATGGAATAAACGGAATTTCGAAATTCTAATTTAGGGGGGCTGGGGAAATAGACCTCACAGTGGCGTCATTTCAGTTTTTGAGAGGGGAGGGGGCAATATTTTTGACCAGCCCAAAATAAAACTGAAAAAAAAACCGTTCGCTAACATTTACATTACTATTATATGAAGGCCCAAAACTAGTCCATAGCTGGTCCGACAGCAGCCCCCTAATGACGACGGGGGAAATGCCCACCCTGCCACCCCAAATAAAATGACTCCAATGTGTTTAAACCTATTTTAATTTTTAGCGTAGTTTATACCCTCGCTTTATAGGTACCTATTAAATATTTTACAATTATAATAATAATAATAATAATAATAATAATAATAATAATAATTTTATTAACGGAATAAAATTCCAATTTACAATAATAAAAATAATGACAGTTTCATAGGTGTGTGTTATACTTACTAAAAAATTAAACAAATGATATAAGAATGAGAGAAAAAAAGTGAGAAAAAAAAAAAAGAATATAATATGTATATTGTATATGTATAGAGAAATTAAAAGTTAGACAATTGATTATATAACAATTGGATTAAAATTAATATAATAATAGGTAATAATCTAAAAATGACAACTTAACGAGCTAAGAGTTATATTGAACAGGTCCAAGTTGTTAAAAAAGTTACCACATGACATTAATATAATAGCAGGGTAGTATAACATGTAGTTTGTTTTAATTATAGATAAATAAAAAGGATGTTTATTTCTTGAATTTTTTATATTTACATTGAAATTAATACGCTCTAAAAGTTCTGGACAATCAATTAAATTATGTAATAGTTAGCCCCGTTAGCCCCCCCCCCTGCGGACGCCACACAGTGTGTCCAAATGAAAATATGCCGGTCAAAATATTTTGGCTGCAGGCCTGCATAATACTTGAACTGCTGAACCTATTTTTTTGGTCAATATCTCTATTTGAGAAATTGTAATAATAATTTTAAGACTTTCTACTAATACGCTAATAATAAATATAATATTTTTTAAAGTATATCAATAAAAAATATTAAAATACCATATTATTACATAAACCTCCTACCTATTCATTATATAAATTTAAAGACAAATGAATTACTTTGTAAATCGAGTGTACACTTGTACGCAGCATCAGAAAAATTAATATGCGTCTCAAGCCAGTTGTGATTTTCTTTCAAAAATCGGTCATTCATTCTCGAACAAGAATTCCATTTATCAAAATATCTGTAATGTATTTAAATTTTAAAAATAGAATCAAAACCTAAATTATTGATTAAGTACAATAGAAATATATTACCTGTTGAAAAATGATGTATTTAAATTTTTTTTCACAATATTAATTGTATCTTGGAATTCGATTGCAATCAATTTTTAAAATGTTTAACACATAATCAAGTACAATTTATTTTTTTTGTACAATCGATATTAATTTTGCTTCTTTTAAAATTAGTTTGTGAATCATTGCGCGTGTAATAGTTGTTTTAGAAGCCATATTAAATTAGAAATTGTAAAATCCGAAAAACGTTGAAATCGCGGAACACAAAGTTTAACCATACAGCAACGAAAATTGTGCAACTATGTGCAGCTAATGTAATCGAAATATTTATCATTTGACCATATTATAATAGAATATTATCGACACAACGTGAAACTCGAAGAATAAACATACTTAAATGATAAGTTTATCTGTTTTAGTTAGTGATTAAATTATAATGTTGGTTATAGGCATAATAATGATATTTTAACAGGCATCGCACATTTATAAGATTATCAATAGCATCATTAGACCCCAATTATGTTATAATATTAACTATTACGTACAAAAATAAATTATATAAACTAAATTAAAAAAAAAAAAAAAAGGTGGGTAAGTGGATGTCGCTCTGCTGTACAGTAGGTTACAAGTGGGTCACTGTATAATTGATGCTATTAAATTTGAATTCAATGATACAATATCATTGTATAAGAAAAACGATTCTGAGCGAAGACGGTATGTCAGTCTAGGTTAAGACAAATTATATACATATCTATGGTATTAAAAAAAATTGACCTATAATAAATTCCAAATTAATCATATCACATTATCACAATATCCATTAGGTACTAATAACACGTTATACACCAACAACAAACCCTGATACTATCATATATATATAATAGTACACTTTAGAAGTTTCAAGTAGGTACCCACGAATAATATTATATAATCACAACAAAATAACTAGGTTTTTTAATATGTAATTTCGTCAAAATTTGAACATAAAATGACTATAAAAATAAACTGTGATTGTATATTTTTTAGATTTTTCGGTAAGAGAATTAACTACTTACGTGGAATCTTGTTTTAAATTTTCAATCCTTAGCTATAAAAACTGAACATTTTATAATTTATTAATTACGATGATTAATAATTTTCGAGATTTTGAAAAATTCTGTCAAAATTCGATGTTAAAATGCTTATAAAAAAAAATTGTGCCTATGTATTTTTAATATTTTTCAACTGATATTGTAACAATATATCAGGAGCCTTGTATTAAATTTTTACACTTTTTGGCCCAACAGATAAAACTTAATTAATATTTATAGAAAAAAAAAACTAAAAAAATTGAAAACTGAAAATGTCCGTAAACGGCTCAAAAAGAGTCAAAATATTTTCAAAATTGTATGGTGTATAGAAAATGCTAATATAAACATTCAGTGAAATTTTCATGTATCTACAGTAATTCGTTTTTTAATTACAACAAAAAAAGGAAATTGCCACATGAGAAATCGAGTGAATATCCAATGTTGTAAAAATTTGAATTTCAAACGCTCATAAAAATTTAATTTGACTTTCCGGTAGAGATTTTTTATTGATAAAGGTAGACAATCTTATGAGTAATCTTGTATTAGATTTTCAAATCTTAGATTTAAAAAGAAAAATTTTTACGAATTCTTAACTCAAAATAATTTGCTAATTTTCGTGATTTTTCCATATTTTGTCAATTTTTGAACTTTAAATGCTTATAAAAAAAATTGTGACTAAGGATTTTTAATATTTTTCATCTGCCCTTGAAACAATATATTAGGAGCCTTCTATTAAATTTTCAAGCTTTCGCAACCAACAAATAAAATTTTATTGATATTTCTAGAAAAAAAACAAAAAAAAAACTAAAAATGAAAATGTCCCTAAACTGTTCAAAATAAATCAAAATATTTTGAAAATGTTATCGTGTATAGAAGATGCAAATATAAACAACCAGTGAAAATTGCATGTACCTACGGTCATTTGTTTTAAAGTTACACCAAAAACCAAATTCAATTTTCTGAAAAATCGATTTTGCGTAAAAATTCCCGTTTTTCCTTAATTTTTCTTTTGTTTTTCCCGGCGCTCTTGAAAACTACTGGGAAATTTAAATTTTGACCTCCCCAATGCACCAACGATATTCACTTTCCAATCGAACAAGATACTGAAGTCGAAAATCGAAGCATTATTTCGACTACTTATCGTGTACACAGACACAAAAAAAATAAAAAATAAAATAAAAAATAAAATAAAAAATAAAATAAAAAAAAAAATAAAAAAAAAAATAAAAAAAAAAATAAAAAAAAAAACACACATCATTGTAAAATCAATACATTCATCGTTTCACTCAGAATCTAAAATAAAAAAAAAAACACACATCATTGTAAAATCAATACATTCATCGTTTCACTCAGAATCTAAAAATCTGTATATCAATATAAGTACATATGATTATATCAATTTCTTTGCATATTTTGTAATAGTAAAATCAATATTTTGGTTTCAAAAATACACATCATAAGTCCTCAGATACTCATGAATATAATCGCATGATTAGAGAAACTAAATTTGGACATTTTAAATGAACCTTTTTGACCGGCATAATTTGATTTAGAAACACTGTGCGCCACTGGCTCATACAGTCATACAATTAAGAATTTATAGATAATAGTATACATATTACATTTACATATTACATTTATTTTGTCATGTAAATTATAATTAATGCTTCTACGTCACCCAGTGAACAGATTGTCCGTGGCAATAAATATTTAATTTAAGTCTTTATTATCTATGTGTTTGAGTGTTGACTCAAGCGCCACTAGTTAATTATTAACAGCTGTTTTATATAGTCACTTTGTAAATCAATCTGAAAGCCGTTTATTATAGGGCGATGTGCAACCTGTATAATATCTTTAATCGTGTATTACCATTTACCAGTATTACCCCCCAAATAATGGTCGGATCTCTTATCTATACCCGTTTTTCGGATCCCTAGTTGTATACCTAATGATTACTGATAATGGTTTTGGAAAATCGTTATTTTAAACGTTAAGAGCGGAAAAGCCGTAGAAACTGAACTATCTATAATAAAATATGCCCCAAGGACGTCGAAAAGTGCCCTTCAGTGGCAAACAGAAAAAACAGCAAATACAAGAAAAAAGGAAGAGAAAACAACAGAACACAGCGTCTGGTAGGAGACATTTAGAATTACAAATCATTAGTTCACATTTGTATAATTGTACAAGATTGTATATTTTATATTTTTAAACAGGTTCTGAGAATAGTTATGAAAGAGCCGAAGGGAATAATGACAGACCTCCCAAGGAACGTTTGCCCGAATTCAACGTACAGAGTATCAATCAACAGCCATTACATCGCGGCGGAAAATCTAATCCTAACCAGTGTGTATAAATAAGCATATTATTATTTATTTAGAATTTAGGAATTTGTCTACTTATGGGACACCCCTTTTTAGGGTTTTTTTTGGGAGGGGGAGACTCCAGTGATGCATATCCCTTAACTTGCTATGCAACACCATCTCAAGTTGGTCTCAGGGTAACCGCCGTATATCCACTCTTATCATTTTCCCTACTCTTCATACACTAACTTTGAAGTGTCGTAACTTCAAAACTATGCTCGAGCGCCAAATTCTGACTACACCATCGTTTTCAGTGTACTTAACTACACAAGTTTTTTAAAAAAAAGGTGACCTATAAAGTAGGAATATACCAAAATGTACTATGCAATTTACTTTACTATCTACAACCAACAATCAGTTTTGAACTGATATTAATATGGTGCTAAGTATCAGTGTCGGACTATAAAAAAATTTAGTCCAGGAAAACTAATCGACTGGCCTTCAAATTTGTTTTATCCTGTATATATTTAGTGTTTTATGTAGGGTATGAATGCATGTTTATTTTGATATAGAACATATTACCCTCAAATTAGTAAATACTTATCAAATATAATCTGTAAATTGAGTTATAATTTTTAAACTCTTAGCTAAGAGGACATCATACCCGTAAGTGTTGTCTCTTTCTTACAAATGTACAACATACTAAATTTTGCATTCAGCTGAACCAATTTTGTGTTGTTAGTTTTAGTATTAAAATGAATTGAAGGTAAAAAAATATTACCTAGAGCAGCTCGTACTCTTATTAATATTTCAATTTTTAATGAGTCACGACTAAATAAAATATTACAATTATAAAATACTTAAAACTCACTTTAAAATGTTATTATTGTTATAACGTTACCAGATGCCCTAGTTCATATTATTACCTTTAAATTACACAACATGTCAATTTACTTTAATATTAGAGCTATTGGTATTCAATGATTTTAAAACAAACATTAATTCAAAACCAAATTATTCTTATCTTCTTCGCAATTTAAAATAAACTGATCAATTTTGTTTAGGTATGTACTACAATTTCGTCGAGAAACTGAAGAAGAAATAAAGAAAAGAAAAGAAGACGCAAGAAAACAGATAATTCCAGTATCTGAAGAAGAACTTGAGTTTGACCCCGCTCCTTATTTTTGTGGCGATGAGCTTGGTTTTCCAACGCGACCTAAATGGAGTCCAGATATTACTAGAGAGCAGCTGGATAGGCATGAATATGGTTATTTCAGGGAGTATTTACTGACAATGAAAAAAAGAAGTGACTGGGATGAGTTAAGTTATTTTGAGCTGAACTTGGAAACTTGGCGACAGATGTGGCGTGTTATGGAAATGTCAGATATTATTGTGTGGATAGCTGATGCTCGTTATCCAGTAAGCTAATCAATATTATTGTCCATTAATGTATTATTTACTTTTATTTTTTTTTTAGGCTGTCCCTACATATTTGTTTACATATGTATTAAAGACTTTAAAAAAGAGTTTGATTATAATTCTGAATAAAATGGATTTGGTGCCTTCAGCTATTGGTTTGGCATGGAAACATAAAATAACACAAACATATAATTTAGATGATGACGTCAAAGCTAAAGTTCACGTGTTGTTTTTTACTTCTTACAAGAACAGTTCTGAATTTAAAGAAGGTATATAAACAACAAAAATAATTAAAGTCTTATGAAAGATCAAAGTTTGATTTATAAAATGTTAATAAAATATATTATGTATGTTAAAGGTGTTCAGAAAAAAAAACCCAGAGGTAAATTAAAGATGGCTGCAGAGGCTGCAGAAAATTTGTTGAAAGAATGTAAAAGTATCATTGATAAATATCAGGCAAAGAGTATGTTTTTCAAATATTTACAAAATTAATTACTATAAATAGTTGTTTTTAATGTTATGGTATGCATTTATAATTTATGTATTGCAGTTGACTTACAGAGCTGGGAAAATAAAATTTCAGAGGAAAAAGAACAAGAATATGATGATGAAGAAGATGTAGAAATAGAAGAAAAAATTACAGTAAGTTATTTTTTGTAGACAAATAATATTATTGACCTGATATTATTTGATAGTTTTTTGAAACATAATAGTAATTAATATCTATTAGTTTTAAAAAAATTATTAAATATTTCATACAATTCTTATTTCCAAGGCTGTTCCAGAAACGAGTTATGAACATTTTGATTTGTTTCAAAACAATTATCTTACAATTGGTTTGCTGGGTCAACCAAATGCTGGGAAATCATCTGTTTTGAATGCATTGATGGGCAAAAAAGTAATTACTTTGTATATTACAATGCAGTTAGTTCCAATAAAATTTTCATATTGTAAATATTGTAATACTTACTTATTATCTTATTATTTAATATTTATTTTTTAAGGTTGTCAGTGTTTCTGGAACTCCTGGACATACAAAGCATTTTCAGACGATATTTTTGACTCCCAGTGTCCGTTTGTGTGACTGTCCTGGACTTGTGTTCCCATCTAAACTCCCCAAGCCATTACAAGTATTAAATAATAATAATAATAAACATCATTTGAGATTTCATGTGTCAAGTTTCTTTAGGTTTTAATGGGATGTTATCCTATTGCACAACTTCGTGAGCCATATTCGACTATTAAATTTTTAGCTGAAAGATTAAATCTGATAAAACTTTTAAACCTACAACATCCAGAGTCTGGAGAAAACGAATGGTCTGCAATAGACATTTGTGACAGTATGCAATTTTAATGCTTTTAAAAATACATTTAAATGGCTTTTATGTATGGATTGTTTCTTAATTATTTAGGTTGGGCAATTAAACGAGGTTTTATAACCGCTAGAGCAGGACGACCAGATACATATCGTGCTGCCAATCATTTACTACGTATGACACTTAGTGGAAAAATTTGCTTAGCATTGAGACCTCTTGGATTTACATTAAACAAAAGTACGAAGCATCAATTTTAAAATGTTTAAAAATACTTTTGAATAGTTGTAGATTGTAGAGTCCAGACTTTTATTTCCTTAAAAAGCTTAAGAAGACATTGTACCCATATAATATACCAAAATGTATGTTCAGCAGTTCTGATTTTGTATTTTTAGATTAAATGTTAGAGTTAATTGACCAATTATAAAACTTAAATTCAAGAACATAAAACACAGATAGTTTTAATGTTGTGAATTATGAGCATTTTCAAATATTTTATATTAATATTTTACATAATATACATAACTCACTTAAAAAATAAAATAACGTAAAAACCAACGAGAGAACACAGATAATGTTCATACATAATTAATGGCATTTAGAATACTACTTAACTAATGACAATAAAAATAAATAAAAGAAAATATTATTTTCTGATTATAAGACAATTAATACTTTTTAGATATTTCCTGACCACTTAAATAATTTTAGGTGTATTTTAAGCTGAATATTAAACTATAAATATGTGTAAAAACATAAAAAAAAAAAATAAAAGTCTACTCATTAATGTGTTCAAGTTAAGAACCATACTTGGTGGCTGATTTGTGTAGAGGAAAATGGCATACGCTATTCCTACAGATGACCTGTTGACGGGCTGATCCGGCAGGACAAATGCTACCCAAAAAACTGGTCGCCGCCAAGTATGGTTCTTTTAACCATTTCAAAATGTCTATACTTATTATTCTTATATTCTTTAGAACATTGGATGTCTTCTGCAGAGCTAAAACATATATGGAAAATTAAAGGCATTGTGGATGAGCTGGATACATTTGAACATAGTTGTATAGAACTATCAGATGATGAGCAAAAACCATCTCTATCTGGTCCCAATGACACTAGTGAAATTGAGGATGATGGCAGTGATGAAGATGAATCTTGTGATAGCGATAGTTCAGAAGTATGTGGTGCAATTGCATCTAATAAGTTTGCCGCATTGGATATGTCTGATTGATGCCAGTTTTCTCTTTTTAAAGATATTATGTTAATCTGTATTTTTCTGAGTATCAGATATTAATTTTTTAATGAAAACTGGTTGTAAATTTAAGTTAATTCATTTTAAAATATATTCATAAAATGTTCAAAGAAGTTAATCGTTTTAAATGTTTGTTTATTATACCCATGTAACTTCTTCTTTATTTTATACTAATTGGCCCAGTTGAATCATTTCATTTGGTTAGCTCTATTCTAGATTTTTTTTTAACTGTTTTCTAACTAAAATCAAACATTTGGATGATCAATTAAGGTTTTGATAAATTAAGTGGTAATTAAAATGTATTTTACTATTCTATAATATTACACGTACATAATATGATTATATTCACTGTTTGACATTAATTAAAAAAACCCTATATTACTTTTCATGAATAATACCTATTTGATTAACTGCTAAAAATTAAAGTCATATTTAGTTAATCGCCAAGTTATGAATTTCAATATATTATGTTGGAACAATATGAAGCGAGAAACTACAACAGAGGACACTTTTTAATACAGCTTCATTGTGTCTCGATTAATACGGTCCTGTTTCTTATTATTTCAACATAATGCCACAAGGTGAAAACTATTTAAATATTTTAAACATAAAGTAAAGTTATACATTATATTTAATAATTAGTTGGGTCATATTTACTGTATACAATTTTAAATATTCAAAACCTATAAAATATTTTCTTATTTACTACTTAATCTTTAGATTTTTTTTCTTTCCTATGTTTCTTGTGTTTCTTATGTTTCTTTTTTCGCTCAGCCGTATCATCGTCAGATGACTCGCTGTCAGTCGTATTGTGCTTGCGTTTCTTTGACTTCTTCTTCTTCTTCTTCTTCTTTTTTTTGGACGCCGCCTCTTTCAATTTCAAGGCTAATTCGGTTTCGCGCAGCTGCACCAGTGGTGTCACATACTCCTCATCCGGTTCACTGCTTGTGCTGCTCACATCCAACACGATATCCTTGTTGGGATCGATTTTAATGAAATTCCGACATTGAAACGTCAAGTGACCAGAGTAACCGCATTTTTTACACGCAGGTCTGGCGGTGGTCTCTTTGGCAAAACCCGAAAATTTGGACTCCATACTAGTCACCGACTCACCGTAGGCAGTGTTACTTATTATTGGCCCGACGAAACGGCTCTATCAACGACGTTTGGTCAAGCAACACGTTGCCATTGTTCCGGCAAAAAAATCTTTCGATACGTTTTAATGGCGAAAGAGAAAAACTGCTACTGAAGACATAATAATAGTAATAGTTAAAACTTAGAATACAAACAATCCGTAATTTATAACGCAGAGTTATAGTGTTAAACGACGTTCGTCAAAATTGGTTAATATTTAATATCCATTATTTGTGTACAGTCGAGACCACAACTTACTATTGAACTATACGGTCATACGGATTACAATTGCACAGTTTACATAAGTTGTCAACAATATTATCATTGTCTTATCACGCATAAACAATTCCTCAACTAAAATAGTTTACAACACTTATCAAGTGAGTAGGAACATATGTTTTCCTTATCAACAGATTTGTGCGAACAACTTTTCGTCTTTGAGTCGGCCATCCGTGATAGCCCGTTAAAACTTAAAACCAAATTTGGCCCTATCGTATTTTGTCGTTGGATTTTGCTATGGCTTTGACGGTGTCGGGTTTGAAGATTGCTGCGGTAGGATTAACGCAGCGTGCATGTCGCCCAACGCTTTTACAAGCGGCCAAATATTCATGGGAACCGAAAGAAGTTGAAACTCATACCGGTCAGGTGAGTAGTCGTCCAGTGTACGGTCACGAATCACCACCTTGGATATCTTTTATCGATAATGATATTAATATTTTTGTATGTTGTGTTGTAGAAATGGGAAAAAGACGATTATCGTTTGTCGCGTTTCATTGACAAAGAGAAAGAAGTGAACAAGTCGTTTGCCATTGATCTCATCTCACAAGTACCGCCTAAGCCGTGTACTGAGCGTGTTGTATATTGCGATGGTGGTGGCGGACCACTGGGTCACCCAAAAGTCTACATAAATTTGGTATACAGTCTATTATAACCTCTCATACGTTTGTTACGATTTAAGTTTCATTATATCAAATGTGACATTTTGACATTATGTGTAATGCATTCCTCTCATTATGCTTCTTATTTGGTAAAGTTAGGCGTACTAAACCCAATGCCCAATAATTAGGAACAGAATTAAAGACATTAGCCAAATTGTTGTTCCCTCAAGGCTATGATTTTTTTTTTTTTTTCATGCATTAGATTATCAATTGAATAATATTTAATTATTTGGGTTTGCACACTGGCTTAAAACCATAACATTTAATAAATATTATAGACAAATTTGTTTTAAATTCTCACTCTTAGTTACTATAATTAGTAAATTGAACTAAATACCTATTACTTTTTATAGTAGCTTATTATTCATACATAACATAATATTATACTCTAATATTCTATAGTATATAATATACAATATTAGAGTAGGTATAAGTCGTTTAGTTTATTAGTATACTCTTTTCCACTAGAGAAAGGTACAGTTTTGCGCATATCGAATGATGGTGGGAGCGTCAAATCTCCTCCACATAACAGCCGTTGACCAATTTTGTTTGGCAGGTTGGTACCTTTTTCTGGGGTAAACTAGTATAGCTTACAGTGTGAGTACAATACTTACTAATATATTACATTATTCTATGTCAACTAATAACAACACAACTTCAACTCTTATCAATACTTTTATAGCACTAATTCAAAATGAAAACAAACTATAATGCCTACTGAAAAAAAAAAAAAAAAAACAATAATATTTCTCTAGAGGCGCTTTATCAATAAGAAAAAAATATGTTGTTAGCACTTACAGCATATTATATTCAATCAAAATTTTTAAAAAAAATAAAAAACTGTTTTTACTATAAAATAAAAATAAAAAATGAATACCTGTGTTTAAAAGTATAACATGTGCATAAATATCAAAATTCATCGAATTATATTAATTGTAACAGGGTCATATGACCTTGGATGCAGAGAATATAGCAATTATAGTGAGTTCAACTGGTATAAGGATAAGAAATTTAACACAAAAATAAAAACAATTTGATTTTTTCTGTTTATATGACAAGAAATTTTGCTTAGCTTTCAGAGAAACTTCTTGCTGATTATAAAATTAACTAAGTAGCTTTCCTCTAATTTTAACTCTACTGATTTACTAATCTGATCAAGAAATCTAGAAACTATGGCTTCGTATATAGAAGTTATAACTTCTTAAATAATTAATTTACCAAACAACTGTTAAAAAACTATAGTTTTTAAAATATTTATAAAAGAATAAATTATAATATGATATCTTAAAACTTTTGGGCTTTTATTGTTTATTTAATAATAAACACATACATTATTTTAAATTATGTTGCCTTGTCTACTGTTTATTAATAAAGAAGCATAATATAGTGTACTATGTTATATAATATTTAAAGAGTTTAACATCCATATTTCAATGTTAAACGGATATTTATATGTTTATAGTGTTTATATTGTCTTATGATATAATTTTTTGTTATTATTATATTATTTAGGACAAACCAGGGAATCACGCTTGCGGATATTGTGGCTTACGGTTTGTCAAGAAGGATAGTCATTAAAAATTATAACATTATTCAACCAAATTTCTTCAAGATTATTTAGATTATCAGATATCGAATAATAACAACTTGTAAATTGGAATCTGTTTATATTAGAAATAAATTACATTTGTTAGAAAAAAATCTAGTTTTTATTGAAATGTTGTTTATAACACAGAAAGGATATACATAAATAAATATTTTTTATGAAATTTTGTTTCCAGGAACGGCAAAAACTACCTTTATAGTAAAAGGTTGAAGAAATTTTACTTCACCAAAACTTGATGACAAGACGCACATAAAGAAATACACTCATTGCTTTGCTCAAAATCCAAAAATGAGATTTTTATTATTACTTTAATGCTTACACTATTTTAATTCAAAGAATAGAGAATATAATAAAATTTAGTATGTTCAGTCTAAAACAAAAGAATTTCAAATGTAATTAAGTTTATCCTTTTATTTTTTTACTCTTTAGTTCAAAATATGCATTAAATGAAAAAATAAAAATAGTTTTGAAGAAGTTTACAGTTGGGTATAAAATATAAAAATTTTTAGATCAACAACATGATCATAACATGAAATACAACAAACACAAAAATATTTCCGAAAACATAGTAATTACCTAATTAAAGAAAGTTTCACAATAATACTCTATATTTTTTGTCCAACAAATAGTAACTACCAATTACTTTTAACACCTAAATTGAAAATAATAATACAAATTCATAAAACTGTAGTTTAAATTAAACAAGGTGTTATTTAACTTGTGCAATAATTACCAATAAATTATTATATTAGTAATAGGCCTATAGGCATGCTCTAAAAATCTAAACCCTAAAATACTTCTATTTAAATGATTTATGGATTATAATAATATAATACTGCCATACTGAATTAGCTGCCATATCTCTTTTGTTATAGAACTATTATTTTCAACTCTTTTGGTTATCTTATTAAAACCTGAGAAAGCTTTCTTACAAATTAATATTGAGTATATAATTAATAATAAAAATACAGGAGTGCTGTCAGTGGGTGGCTTCTCCCCTCAAGACACCAAGCTTAAAGCATCTACTCCTAAGTCTCGTTTAAGCTTATACAAAAATGGTATAATAATATAATGTTCAACTCAACTATAAAATAGGTGGGCAAGTGGGTGTCGCTCTGCTGTACAGTAGGTTACAGTATAATGGATAGTATTAAATTTGAATTCAATGATATAATATCATTGTATAAGAAAAACGATTCTGAGCGGAGACGGTATGTCAGTCTAGGTAAAAGACATTATATACTTATCTATGGTATTAAAAAAAATTTAATAAATTCCAAATTAATCATATCACAATATACATTAGGTACTTATAACGCGTTATACATCAACAACAAACCCTGATACTATCATAGATATATAATAGTGTACTTTAGAAATTTCAAGGACCCACGAATAATTATACAATCACAACGAAATAACTAACATAGTTATTCTAGGTTTTTTTTATGTAATTTCATCCAAATTTGAACTTAAAATGACTATAAAAATAAACTGTGCTTATGTATTTTTAATATTTTTCAACTGATATTGTAACAATATATCAGGAGCATTGTATTCAATTTTTCACTTTTTGGCCCAACCCATAAAACTTTATTGATATTTATATAAAAAAAAACTAAAAAAATTGAAAACTGAAAATGTCTGTAAACAGTTCAAAAAGAGTTAAAATATTTTCAAAATTGTATGGTGTATAGGAAATATATAAATATTCAGTGAAATTTTCATGTATCTACAGACCTACAGTCATTCGTTTTTGAATTACAACAAAATAAGGAAATCGCTACACGAGAAATCGAGTGAATATCCAATGTTGTAATAATTTAATTTGACTTTCTTATAGACATTTTTTTTTGATAAAGGTAGATAATCTTATAAGGAATCTTGTATTACATTTTAAAATTTTAGATTTAAAAAGAAAAATATTTACGAATTCTTAACTCAAAATAACTTGCTAATTTTCGTGATTTTTCCATATTTTGTCAATTTTTGGACTTTAAATGCTTATAAAAAAAACTGTGACTAAGGATTTTTAATATTTTTCATCTGCTTTTGGAACAGTATACTAGTATACTAGGAGCCTTCTATTAAATTTTCAAGCTTTTTCAGCCAACAAATAAAATTTTATTGATATCTTTATAAAAAAAAAAAAATGGAAAATGAAAATGTCCCTAAGCAGTTCAAAATAAACCAAAATATTTTGAAAATGTTATAGTGTATAGAAAATGCAAATATAAACAACCAGTGAAAATTTCAAGTGTCTACTGTCATTTGTTTTAAAGTTACACCAAAAACCAAATTCAATTTTGTGAAAAATCGATTTTGCGTAAAAATTCCCGTTTTTCTTTAATTTTTCTTTTGTTAATCTTGTCGCTTGTGAAAACTATTGGGAATTTTAAATTTTGACCTCCCAAAAGTACCAACTTTCTCATCGAAAAAGTTACTGAAGTTGAAAATCGAAGCATTATTTCGACTACTAATCGTGTACACAGACACAAAAATAAAAAAAAAACACACATCATTGTAAAATCAATACATTCATCGTTTCACTCAGAATCTAAAATAGTTCATATATTATAAAAATACATTATGATAACTATTACAAATCAATTAGTGTTAAGTGTTAAGTTATAAACTAAAACCAAATCCATAGTAGGTATACCATAATTGTGCATGAAGAGTTGTATTTTTATCCAATAGGTAACACTATACAAGCAATCATATTATATTTTGTAACTTGTATTTTCACAAATTTATCATAAATATCAATAGGTATTTTATAGATTATAGCAAAAAATTATAATAAAAACCGATGGTCGCTCTTCTGAAGGTTAGTTGTTGAGTGCACCTCGTCACTGTAATAGTGTACCTAATAGATACCTAATGGATGTGTTACATTTGAAATAAATGATAAATCATTGTATACCTAGGTACCTATATAGGAAAAAACAATCCGGCACGTCAACCTATTTTTCTAAGGATATTTTATCATATACATATTTATACTTTGAGTTATTAATTTTTCTATTATTAATGAGGTAGGTGGTTGAACGTTGAACACATTTTTGCAAAAATTATATTGTATAATATTACTAGCTATTTATTCACGGGTTATTTGCGTACTGAGATTTTGGAGGCAAATTGCCTACTAATGTATTGCTTTTGTAATGGAATACGTAAAATCAAATAAATTATGGTAATGTGTCTGGTTTCACATTATTAATAAATGTAAATAAAAAAAACTATTATAAACTTTCATAGTACCTATATGACGAAAGCCACTATTTATTTTTAAGAATAATAATAATATGATCATACCTATCTATAGGTAATTTTTTTGTAAATGTCAAAACATAGAGTTTCAATAAAATTAAATATATATTTTTTATATCCTGTATTTATGACTAAAGTTATTAAACTATTCAAATGGATTAAACATTATCATGATAATTATATTATCCTACAGAAAACATAATATTATTACATAATATTGTGATGTATGTTGTGTGGGTAAATAGCCTAACCAGAACCCCGTGATATCATAACTTTATTGTTGAAACGCAATAAAAAAAAGGTGGGCAAGTGGGTGTCGCTCTGCTGTACAGTAGGACGTAGGTTACAAGTGGGTCATTGTGTAATGGATGGTATTAAATTTGAATTCAATGATATAATATCATTGTATAAGAAAAACGATTCTGAGCGGAGACGGTATGTCCTTCTAGGTATAAGACATATTATATACATATCTATGGTATTAAAAAAAATTGACCTATAATGAATTCCAAATTAATCATATCACAATATCCATTAGGTACTTATACACCAACAACAAACCCTGATACTATCATAGATATATATAGTAGATTACTTTAGAAATTTCAAGTACCCACGAATAATATTATACAATCACAACAAAATAACTAAAATCGTAATTCTTGGTTTAAATATGAAATTTTGTCTAAATTTGAAATTAAAATGTCTGTAAAAAATAAGTGTGTTTATATATTTTTTAGATTTTTTGGTTACAGTATGAATTATTTAAGAGAATCTTTGTTTTAAATTTTCAACTCTTAGTTATAAAAACTGAACATTTTATAATTTTTTAATTCCAACGATTGATAATTTTCTAGATTTTGATAAATTTTGTCAAAATTCCAACTTTAAATGCTTATAAAAAAAAATCGTGCCTATGTATTTTTAAAATTTTTCAACTGATATTGTAACAATATATAAGAAAGCTTGTATTAAATTTTCAGACTTTTTGGCCCACCAAATAAAATTTTATTGACAATTATAAAAAAAAAACTAAAAAAATTGAAAACTGAAAATGTCCGTAAACAGCTCAAAAAGAGTCAAAATATTTTCAAAATTGTATGGTGTATAGGAAATGCTAATATAAACATTCAGTGAAATTTTCATGTATCTACAGTTATTCGTTTTTGAATTACAACAAAATAAGGAAATCGCTACATGAGAAATCGAGTGAAAATCCAATGTTGTAAAAATTTGAATTTCAAACGCTCATAAAAATTTAATTTGACTGTCCGGTAGAGATTTTTTTATTGATAAAGGTAGATAATCTTATAAGGAATCTTGTGTTTCATTTTCAAATCTTAGATTTAAAAAGAAAAATTTTTATGAATTCTTAACTCAAAATAATTTGCTAATTTTCGTGATTTTTCCATATTTTGTCAATTTTTGAACTTTAAATGCTTATAAAAAAAAATTGTGACTAAGGATTTTTAATATTTTTCATCTGCCTTTGAAACAACATATTAGGAGCCTTCTATTAAATTTTCAAGCTTTCGCAACCAACAAATAAAATTTTATTGATATTTTTAGAAAAAAAACTAAAAAAAAATGGAAAATGAAAATGTCCCTAAACAGTTCAAAATAAATCAAAATATTTTGAAAATGTTATCGTGTATAGAAAATGCAAATATTAACAACCAGTGAAAATTTCATGTATACA